TGTGCCCTGTTGTAGCTGACCTTATCTAGCCTGATAAAAAGCCTTTGCCTATCCACCCTATCTATGCCTCTCATAATTTTGTAGACCTCTATCAGGTTGCCCCTCAACCTCGGTCTTTCCAATGAAAACCGAGTTTTTCCAACCTCTCCTTCTTCTAACTAAAACCCTCCAGACCAGGCAATATCCTGGTAAACCTCTTCTGCGCCCACTCTACCAGAAGGACATGGTTGCCTTAGTGTGGTGACCAGAACTGGATGCAATATTCCAAATGTGGCCGACCTAAAATTTTAAGACAGCTGTAACATAACTTGCCAACTTTTGTATTCAAAGCACGCTTGCCTTCATTGGCCGGTGCAGTATGTTTTCTTGATCACCTCATCCCCCTGTGTTGCCACTTTTTCAGGGGTCTGTGGACCTGTATGCACAGATTCCTGTCTGTCAGTGCTTCGAAAGGTTCTGCCATTTATTGTACAATTTGCACCTGAATTTGGCCTTCCAAAATGCATCACCACGCATTTGTCCGGATTAAACCCGATCTACCATTTTCTCTGCCCAAATTTGCAATCTGTTTATATCCCAATGCATCCTTTGACAATCCTTCTCGCTGTCTGCAACTCTGCCAATTTTGGTGTCATTTGCAAACTTACAATTGAGACCACCTACATTTTTCCTACAGATCATTTATGTATATTACAAACAACAAAGGTCCCAGCACTGATCCCTGCAGAACACCGCTAGTTACTGAGACAACAAGGTGCAGGGCTGGATGAACACAGCAGGCCAAGCAGCATCATAGGAGCAGAGAGGCTGACGTTTTGGGCCGAGACCCTTCATCAGAAAAGTGGTGGGGAAGGGGGTTTTGAAATAAATAGGGAGAGAGTGGGAGGCGGATAGAAGAGGGATAGGTGGAGAGGAAACAAACAGGTCGAAGAGGCGGGGATGGAGCCAGTAAAGGTGAGTGCAGGTAGGGAGTTAGGAAGGGGATAGGTCAGTCCAGGGAGGACGGACAGGTCAAGGGGGCGGGATGAGGTTGGTCGGTAGGAGATGGAGGTGCGGCTTGAGGTGGGAGGAGGGGATAGGTGGGAGGAAGAACAGGTTAGGGAGGCAGGGACGAGCTGGACTGGTTTTGGGATGCGGTAGGGGGAGGGGAGATTTTGAAACTTGTGAAATCCACATTGATACCATTGGGCTGCAGGGTTCCCAAGCGGAATATGAGTTGCTGTTCCTGCAACCTTCGGGTGGCATCGTTGTGGCACTGCAGGAGGCCCAGGATGGACATGTCGTCTGAGGAATGGGAGGGGGAGTTGAAATGGTTC